ATATATATATATATATATATAGTATTATCACTTGATACGTAATTCTGGGTTTTAGTTCTTACAGCACTTTAAAATGTCCACTTCCTTCTATTATTCATAACTTGATGTGACATCTGCAATTACTCAGATCCCTCAAGTAATGCATTATGTTTCTCTAGCTGCTTTCAATAATTATTTTTTTCAGTATTGTAATTATGATACGTCTGGGCATGAATTTCTCAGGGTTTATTCTGTTTGGTATTCACCAACCATCTTAAATCTGTAGGTTTATGTCTTTGATCAGATTTGGGGTGTGTTCAACCATCATATCTTTAAGTATTTTTTGTACCACACATTTTCTTCTCTTGTGATGTTAATCACAGGAATGTTAGACCTTTTGGTGTGGTCCCACAGATTTCTTTAATTTTTTGTTTTTTTCTGCTGTTTAGAATGAAGCGTTGATTGAATTGTATAATTAGTATCAACCTACTTTTTAGAGTCTTGTTCTGTTGCCCAGGCTGGAGTGCTGTGGCATGATATCAGCTCATCACAACTTCCATCTCCAGCTCTGGGTTCAAGCCATCCTTCCACCTCAGCCTCCCGAGTCGAGTCACTGGGACTATAGGCTCGCCACCACACTCAGCTAATTTTTTGTATTTTTAGTAGAGACAGGGTTCTCAACATGTTGGCCAGGCTGGTCTCAAACTCCTGGCCTCAACTGATCCACCCGCCTCAGCCTCCCAAGGTGCTGGGATTACAGGATTGAGCCACCATGCCTGGCCAGTAGCAACCTATCTTCAAGTTCACTGATTTTTTTTCCTCTGACATCTTCACTCTGCTATTGAGCCTATCCACTGAGTTTTTTTATTTTGGTTATTTTTCAATTATAAAATTTCTTTTTGATACTTTATACCTTGGGTTTCTTTGCTGAGACCTAGCTTTCATTTCATGAGTGTTCATCCTCATTTGAAGCATATTTATAATGGCTACTTTCAAATTTTTGTCAGAAAATTCTAGCATCTATGTCATATCAATACTGACTGACTGACTTTTCCTATGTTACTTGAAATTTTCTGGTTTTTTTATATACCAAGTAATTTTGGATTATATCCTGGACATTCTAAATATTATAAGACTCTGGTCTTCTTTTTTTTTTTTTTTTTTTTTTTTTTTTTT